ATGTGGGGGTTTATACGAATGCGCTTGCTCCAGCTGGTGGTACAATATTCGGAGGCGGTATCGCCTCTCTGATCCTCTAGTTTATTATTGCATCAAAATTGACAAAATGACCCATTTTCTGCATTTATATTTTCTGTTTTTGTCTGTACATTTGACAGCTTTGCTGCCTTGTTTCCACAGCTGATTATTTATAATAAACAAAGTTGTATATTTTGTTATTTTTAGTCGCCTAAATTGGTAGAAAAGGGAATTAGAAGAGTGACCTTCCTGAATTCATATGCTGTAAGTTTTCTTAGTTGGGGGAGTGAGGCTGAAGTAACTATTTGCAGTGTGAATTAATTGTCAAAATGTAAAAAACAGAATTTTTAAATGAAAAAGCACATCATGTAGCCTACATAAGTAATGAGTCTGAAATATCCAGTATTGCATTAATGTAATTACTTTTTTGCTCAGTGTGGTATAAGAAGATAAAATTTTATGCAGTTGAAAAAATTATGAATCAACAGAATAAGTTGCTTTCAGTAAAAGATGAAATGTTGACACTTTTCTTTTTTATTTCTAGAGAGAATTTCCCCAATATTTCACATTTAGAGCCAGAGACATGGTAAGTGTGATGTTTGTTAAACAAGAATGAAAAATTTCTAGCCAACAATGTCTGAATGTTGTCAATCTCTGAATGGAGTGATATAAGCTTAGAATAAGTAAAATGATTAATATGTGGTGTAACATAACTGATGTAGACAAACATCTCCAGCTCATTCGGTATATTTGTGTATCTTCACAGTTTGCCGAGGATAGAATTTATCGCCATCTTGAGCCTGCGCTAGCGTTTCAACTGGAGATCAACAGAATGCGGAACTTCCACCTCACTGCCATTCCTATACAAAACCACAAAATGCATCTTTATCTTGGAAAAGCCAAGGTATGTTGAGTTTATTATTTTCCTAAAAAATTATTGCTTATCAGGGCTTCAAGTCTTGTGTAGTCAACTTTTCTGTACTCTGTGAAATATAGAAAATGGAATTTATTTAACCCAATAAATGTTATATATATATTTTTTTTTAATCAGCCAATTTGACAATTTAACGACATTTGTGTGTGCGCCTGCATGTGTTTGCAATACAGAAAATAGTCAGCAAATATCTAACCCAATAAATGAAATATTTTATTGCTTAAATCAGCCAATTTGACAATAAATTTCACCTTGATGCTTCCAGCAAGTAGCCAAGTGTCAGGAGGCAACTGACTACAGATTCTTTGTGAGGTCAATCATTAGACACTCTGACCTTGTGACTAAGGTAGGCATTAACACAATTATAAAGTTGTGTTTTAGAACAGGCAGTGCTTTTTTTAGGTAACTAAATTTTAGTGAACTAAAACTTGATGTGATTATTTTATGGAAATAAATAGACTTGATATTAGTGAATGCCTGGCAGCAATATTTCAACCTGTTTGATTTATATAATTATTTTTGTATTATATTGAAATTTTTCACCCAATAAATTGTTTTTCCTCCAATAGGAGGCATCATTTGAGTATCTGCAGAATGAAGGTGAGCGGACGTTGCTGGAAGCTATGGATGCTCTAGAGGTGGCTTTCTCCCACAGTGATGTAAGTGACACCATTGGGATTCGCACTACTATAGATAAATGTCGAGGTTCCATTGCCCAAAAAACCAACAATTGAAACAAAATTAATACAGAATCTTGTTGTTTCTTGGCAACAGTCGGCTGACTGTTTATAAAAACTGTTCAGTTTTATTCCTGTTTACCTGCAGGATCTTCATCAAATATAGTTTTGTGCATTTGTTTGTCCAAATTAGTCAGCCTGTTCAGTCTTAGTAACAGTTCATAAAGCCAGTGACTAGATATCACTGAATTGTTCAAGTTAAGTTATACATAATATTTAGTTCAAGAACAAATTCATGGACAAATACTGTTAGATGTCATATTGCTGTTTTTATATGTGATCTAAAGGTTGATTTACTGTTATATACATGTTCTCATTTGTAGATGTTGGAATTCATTTTCAGTTGTTTTTCTCCTTTTACATCATTTGCTTTAGCGCCATTAAAATGTTGTTAATTGTGATTTTTCCATTTAGTTCAAAAGTGCCAACAGTAACCACATATTCCTAAATTCGGTGGCCACTGTTGTCATGGATTACGACAAGGTTGGAGGCAACACATCTTTATGCGATCTTTGTTACTGTAATTGTCATGTTGTTGTTTTGTTGTTGTTGTTGTTGTTGTTAAATGTTCATTTTGTACTGCACCTGTTAATCACTCCCATCAAAGAGGTGTCAGCTGACATTGGGATCTAAATTTTCCCCCCTCACCAGATCAACATTGGAGGTGAAAGCTGTCATCACACACCTTATTGGAAATCACTCAGTTTTTGGCTAAATTGTACTTGTCTTTAGTGAGCCCAGCCCTTGAAGTGTGGTCCATGGACGCTATATTGATGTTTTAATGTGTTTGGTTGACTTCTGGTCTGATGCCATATGTGGTGTGATGACAGCTTTTAGAGTCCAATGAGTTCAACTTGGAGCCTGGGACCCTTGCCCCCTCTGACTGCATGCTTGCTATACGTTACCAGAAATAGGCACGACACGACGACCAGCAGAAATGGGTTAATTGCACATGCGCCTCATTGTTGTGCAAAGGTGCATGAAAGTTGCCTTCCTGCATGTTTTCTGTCATATAAGAGGGTTTAACCGTAGGATGGATTGGACATTTTAATCCTGCACTGGCAATTAGATCTTGCACATTGGTATAGTGAATGGGAAACATCTTATATTTTATTTCTTGTAGTCACGGCGAGCAGATTGTAACCATATCTTCCTGAATTTTGCTCCAACATTGGCTCTGACGGACCCAACCAAGGTAATAGGTGGTTATCATGGTTCTTTCTAACATACTTCAACATATTTTATTACTTATTAACCAATATTTATTTTTTTGGTGTTGTTTACTGGTGTCATCAGTTTTGTGTTTGAAAATTGTCATTAAATTAACAGGTTAAGTATATTATTCTACATGGATTAAGAGAATGTTGTGTGTATTTTAAGATATTTAATTATGCTGTACAACAATTTGTAGGTGATATCTCTTTGATAAGGTATTCAAAATCAGTTGCAAAAAATAGGGTTGCTTAAACTAAACAAAAAACAATTTATGTGCAATAGCCTTTATAGTAAATTTAATTTCTGAGTGGTATTTGTAATGTGATACTATTATTTTGTATTTTCCCCTTAAAGTTGGAGGAGACTGTCCGTAGCATGGTAATGAGATATGGTCACAGACTTTGGAAACTCAGAGTACTGCAGGCTGAACTGAAAATGACCATCAGGTAGGTTGGAAAAATTATTATATCTGTCCAAATGATTAGCTTTCTGGGATCAAATTGGTCTTAAATCCTAAAAGTAGAGTTCCCTTTCTCACATATTTCACATCCATGACAGTGTACAGTATACTTTCTAGGTTAACCACCAATGGAAAGCGTCTTCCTATTCGTCTATTTCTGACCAATGAGAGTGGCTATTACTTAGACATCAGTATGTACAGGGAGGTCACTGACTTACGCACAGGGCAGGTAGGAGTTGAGCCGAGTTTTATAAACATGGGTGCCTGGACATGAATTTTTACAAAATTGGATAATCTGTTTTTTATTTAACTTAAAATGTTCAAAAAGAATTTAATAAATGTAAGTGTTTAAGATGGACACAGGTTTGCTTTTCTTCATAACAGCAGATTTTGACTTTTATAAACAATTGTAATTTAAGCGTTTAAAATAAAGTTGAGCAGCTTAACAATACAGTTTATTTAATACACTCAATATTATTTTGTCCTTACACTCCGTATATTTCAGATAATGTTTCAAGCATATGGTGCCAAGCAGGGCCCCTTACATGGCATGTTAATAAGCTCTCCGTACGTGACCAAGGACCATCTCCAGCTGAAGAGGTCTCAGGCTCAGTCCAACGACACTACCTATGTCTATGACTTCCCAGAGTTTTTCAGACAGGTGAGATACGTTTCATAATTATTGTAGAAGAAGTCCAATTACATGCTGCGCCTGTTATCCAAATTGATCTCCGAGTTATGAAAAATTAAATATGATATATGTTGTGTAAGTTTATGTGATTATTTTTTAATTAAGTTTTGAAGTTTTTTCTTTTAAGTTTAAACGTGAGAAATCTGTTTACACATTAGAACGTATGACAAATTCCATGTAGTTGTTACTGTATTGGCGTGAATTGTATGTTATGTTCAGCTCACAGAACAATGAAAATTGGCAACTAAAAGATTCATTCTAAAATTTTGTTGTTCCATTTTTCAGGGTTTATTTAAAGTTTGGGCAGAGCATGAAAGGAAGACAGGACAAAAGCCTCCACAAGATGTCCTCACCTACATGGAGCTTGTCTTGGACCAGGAGGGGGAGCTGCACTCAATGAACAGGCTGTCTGGAGAAAATGAGGTGATGGCAGAAACATTTCTGTAAAACAAGTTTACAATATGAGTAAAGTGGTCTTAATTGTTTACCATCCTTTTTTTTAGTATGTTAAGAAGTTTTTATTTCATAGATAAGGGAATAGGAAGATAGCATTAAATGTACTTCAGCTGAGGCATTAATTTCTTTAATGAATTGTTATGATTTAATAATTTTGCAGTTGATATTTGAGTTATTTGCACGTTGTCAAGAAATATAAAACTATTACCAGAACTTTTTTATCCTTTAAAATTGGTTTTAACTGAGCCAAACTTAACCATCCCTTTAATTAAAATTTCCTCTCCCAATCAATTTATTTTTGATTGATTTCCTCAGATTGGCATGGTGGCGTGGAAGATGACCCTCCATACCCCTGAGTTCCCCCTGGGGCGAGATGTCATCGTGATAGGAAATGATATCACATATCTGATTGGCTCGTTTGGGCCACAGGAAGATCTGCTCTTTATGGTATGTGGTCCTCTTTCAGTGTGTGTAATGTGTGATTTTAAGCATTTTAGTATCAACTAGGTAAAATCAGGCCTACCCAACTACCAGACTCGGCACCTAANAAGTCTGGTAGTTGGGTAGGCCTGAAAATGTGAGTTAACTTATTAGGTAAAAAATCTATGCAGTCTATCCCCAGATTGAGCTGGTTAAACTGTATAATTCTTAATTTTAGTATTGAAGATAATTGGTATTGCTTTGTGTGAAATGACAAAATTTCCTGTTTTTTTTTTTTCTTGGTGTAACATAAAGTGATGTAATCATTACATTTAAAGCCCACTTATAAATGTGATGTGGTATGATGTTTTCTTTATAAAACCATCCATTGTGTTGTAGAGAGCCTCTGAGCTAGCCAGAAAACTTGGTATTCCACGTATCTACATATCAGCTAACAGCGGCGCCAGGATCGGTCTGGCAGAGGAGGTGAAGCACCTGTTCAAGGTCGCCTGGGAAGATACCCAGAACCCAGATAAGGTATGGCAAGGGTTTGTTGGGATCGATGGGAGATGATTCAGCACACTACTTGAAAGCTGAATTAAGCTTTGGTGTATCCATAAATATTTTTAGTTCTATTTGTTACAGTTCATCAAAAATTATATTGAAAACTGAACATGAGCAAAAATGTTCATAAGCTTGGAAGTTGGATCATTAATTATTTTTCAATATGTGGTGGTTCACAACTGGAAATTATGTGTTTTGTTTTTAAACAATTTATGATGGGTTAATTCTCCTAATTGATTTTCTCTCTGACTCACTATAATTTTTATGATAGTGAAAAAGTGAGTGAGCACTTAGAAGAATGCTTGCGATTTCAGGGTTTTAATACTAACATGTGTTCCTTAAAGCCTGAAAATTGAATATCCAAATTCTCTAACAATCAAGGTTATTTATGATTTCAGGGTTTTAAATACCTGTATCTGAGTCCAGAAGACTTCAAGAAGGTCAGTCCTCTAAACTCTGTCCGCGCTGAGCTGGTGGAAGACGAGGGAGAGTCCAGGTACAAGATCAAAGATATCATTGGTAAGGATGGACTGGAGTATTATTTATTTATTTGTTTGTTTGTTATTATTGTTATTATTATTATGATTTTTTTTTTTTTTTTGAAAATTCACATAGATATTTTAAGTTGTATCAATGGTTAAGATCCTTCTTAAAGCAAAAACCATTGCATGTTGGGATTTTAAACATGTGGACAGTTTTTTTGTGAGAAAATAAGTTTTCAGAAATTTGAAATTGTTAGAAAAAAGTGTTTTTTAATCTGAAGTCAAAGTCAGTATCTCAGCATCACTATTAATCCAGCTGTGTGGTTATTTCTAGTAATACTTTATGTGATATTATTGTATTTCCAGGGAAAGATGATGGCTTAGGAGTTGAGAACTTGAAGGGCTCAGGCATGATAGCAGGAGAATCGTCACAGGCCTATGAGGACATTATTACTATGAACTTGGTAAGGGATTATTGCATGGACTGTTATTTATGTAGTGATTTTTATATTAATATTATTTGATGTGGATTATTGTGTATTATTAATTTGAGATTATTCACCCATCTGGTTGTTATTGGGAAAAGTGATAAAATGAAATTTTGTAAATTGTATTCCATAGAGAATGTAATTAATGCAATACTATTCTAAAGAGATGGGCTGGTAAAACGAAACTTTATTAACTTTATTATTAAAACAACAAGAAGGATTACCTACATCAAGGTTTTAACTTTTGAATAATAACTTATATATAGAAACAGGACAGTTCTAGCTAGAAAAATAAGACCCTTGCCCCTACTTAGAGTTAAATTTAGCAAACATTATTTCATTGATGTAAAATTAAAATGCATGTATAATGATCTCAATGTCTTCCTCCAGGTGACATGTCGTGCTATAGGGATAGGTGCTTACCTGGTGAGACTAGGACAGAGAATTGTACAGGTGGAGAGCTCACATATCATCTTGACTGGAGCAGGGGCGCTGAATAAGGTGAACATGGGTTTAGTAGTAAAGATAAAAAATCTTCTGGATTTATCTTTTACATTGTACTATCTATTGTAATATCTTAAAATCTTAACTGTTCATATATTTATTTACATTTACATTACATACATATTTTAATATCTTCATATTTTAACTACCTATTTATTTATTGACTTTATTCATCTTATTTTGTTCATTTTACCCATGTTAAGTCTACTGAACATTTTGTATGGATTTTAGACTGTAAATAGATAAACATAATTATTATTATTATTATTATTATTATTATTATTATTATTATTATTATTATTATTATTATTATTATTATTATTATTATTATTATTATTATCTGGATATTAGGATGTTGTATATTTTTGTCCACACCCCATCCCCTCCCAAACAAGAAAGACTAGCACTTCTTTTATTTACCACTTGCATTTTCCAGTTACTCTTGTATGGGTACACTTTAATCTCTCTGGTAGCGGGAATCGGCTACTAAGATGTGATAGGTGATTTTTGAAGATTTTTGTTCTGGCAATGGCAATAAATTACGCCTTAAATGTAAAATATTGAGGTAATGAGGAGGGGGGTTAGGAAGGGAGTGAAGATAATGTCTGACTGAAAGAGGGGACAGCAATGGGGTGAAAGAAAAATTATTCGCATTTGATTTGATTCATACATAATTATTTACCAGTTTAAATTAGTAATGAGATTTTTGGGCAGTTTTCCAAGTTAGGTGACCCCCCCCCCCCCCAGACCCTTGTCATTAGTCCACCCAGACATGTCTTCCTTCTTTCTTACAAACCACAATTATGTGTCTATATTTATAAAGGAAGTAAAACTTATATGATTTATGAATGTTTATTTTCCTCTCTATTTCAGTTACTGGGCAGGGAGGTATACACCAGTAATAACCAGCTTGGTGGGATACAGATCATGCACAATAATGGAGTGTCTCATGACATTGCACCCAATGACCTTGATGGTATCTACAAACTTATACAATGGCTGGCCTACTTCCCCAAGGTAGTCACCTCATGCTAAGTTTTATTTTGGGGACACTTTAAGGAATAAAACATATTTAGATATGAAATCTAAGAAAATGCAAATGGATAAAAAAAAAACAATTTAGACTGTGAATGAAAAACAGTAAAAAGGAAACAGACATAACAGGTAGAACTAATGACAAAATGTCTAGAAATAAAACCATGGGGTTCAAAAATTTTGTGAGGTCATCACATTACAGGATGTATCTTCACTTCGGTAACGCACTTTCAGTCTATGATTTTTGGTGCATTTAAAATATGGTTCAGGCCCATAAGTTATTATACTGTTTCAGTGCCGAGATGGCCCCTTGCCCATCCTACCACCTACTGACCCCATTGACCGTACGGTGGACTTTATGCCCACCAGGGCCCCCTATGACCCACGGTGGATGTTGGCAGGAAGACCAGACCCAAGTAAGATATGACAAAAACAATACAAAATCTGTGTGCTGACACTTAAACTCTGTTAGCTTCACCAATTTTTAAAAGAACACAGTAAATCAACTTTATATAAGAAGACATTAATGAAAAATTTCTCCATTCCTAATTTGTTACCACTTCTACAGGTTGACTTTGCTTTTTTGGAGAATGTGAAATGCAAAAAATGTTTTATTATGTGCTGTAAAAATTTCAATTTGTTATGTTTGGGTTTCATTTTTGTACATCAGACAGCCCAGAAGTGTGGCAGAATGGTTTCTTTGACAAGGACAGTTTTATGGAGATTATGCAACCGTGGGCGCAGACTGTCGTCTGCGGGAGAGCTAGGTGAGGAGGCTGGGGATCTTGAAACTGCCAGCTTGCCATCGTCTGCTTTATATCAAGTAGTAAATTAAATTATGACAAGACCACAAAAGAGGGATTGGTGAATTTCTACAACTTTGTTGTATTTACAAAAATGTTGAAAATGTTATTTTTTAAAGGAAAAGTTTTAAGACAGCATAGAATGTAGAACCAAATATCAATCAAAACTGAGTTATCTGTTAAAGTAATAGCTGAGTCATTACAGTCTAGTGACATTTTGTTCTCCCCCCTCAGGTTGGGAGGTATTCCCCTGGGGGTGATCTGTGTGGAGACCAGGACAGTAGAGGTCACCATTCCTGCCGACCCTGCCAATCTGGACTCTGACGCCAAGGTAAGGCAACGTCTGGACAAGTTCTTAATGTTTGGGGTTTATGGTTTTTTTTTTTTTTTTTCGTTAATTTGAATTTAATTTGTGAGAAAATTGGCATTTTTGACTACATTCATGAACTGTTGCTGTTTATGATTTAGACCTTTTCTATACACAGTTGTGACTGGGGGAGTAGAGCGGTTCTTTAAAGTATCATAGTTGGTATCCCTTGGTCATTTTGAAGCCTGTATTCAAGTGAAATGCAGTTTTGTATAGTTTTGAATAGCCTCCTGTATAGTTTCTGTGCTCATCCACTTTGCCCAGAACCCATGTTATAGCCTATAAGTATAGTAATTGTATTTTGTTAAAAAAAAAAAGAAAGTCTGTAGATGTAGTATCTTCTGGTTCTCCAGGATATTCAGCAGGCTGGGATGGTGTGGTTCCCAGACTCTGCCTACAAGACAGCTCAGGCCATCAAAGATTTTAACAGGGAACAACTGCCACTCATGATCTTTGCCAACTGGAGAGGCTTCTCTGGGGGGATGAAAGGTAAGGCTCTTTAAGGGGAACGAAAGGTGAGGCTCCTTAGGGGAATGGAAATTGAGGTTCTGGGGGTGGGGGTAGGGGGGATGAAATGTGAAATCAGGAAATGTTATGGGATTGTCAAGTGAGAAGAGAATATTCCAAAATCCTTTTTGGGTGGAGTTGCTATGCTTATTTGGAGTTTCATAATTGTCAAACTGATTCTTAATAAGCCGTCTGTGTTTCCATATAATTATAAATTCTAGTGTATTACATGGTTAAGGTTCTTTGCTACCATTTTCAGACATGTATGACCAAGTGTTGAAGTTTGGTTCATACATCGTGGATGGTCTACGTGAATACCGTCAGCCTATCCTGATCTATATCCCGCCCAATGGAGAGCTGAGGGGCGGGGCCTGGGTGGTTGTTGACCCGTCAATCAACCCAAGATACATGGAAATGTATGCCGACAGGGAGAGCAGGTGGGTACAGTGACAACTGGTGAGGATAATGCTTATTTACTGTATTTTTTGATTTCTTAATAATCCTTATTGGCCATACTGCTGGTTTAAAGAAATCAGGTTTGAACATTTTTAGAAAGTTTGCCAAAAAGTACATTTGACTCGTGCTCCCATAGGTTTACTCCCACGCTCCATATTTCAGGGGTGGTGTTTTAGAACCAGCAGGTACAGTGGAGATCAAATATAGAATCACTCCCACTCTCCATATTTCAGGGGCGGTGTTTTAGAACCAGCAGGTACAGTGGAGATCAAATACCGTCACAAGGACCTGGTCAAAACTATGCGAAGACTAGACCCGAGCTATATCCAGCTTTCTGAGAAGATCTCCAGTCCTGCTCTGTCCAAAGAAGATAAGCTGGTGCTGGAGAAACAACTGAAGCAGAGAGAGGAACAGCTGGCACCAATCTACCACCAGGTGGCAGTGATGTTTGCAGACCTCCATGATACGGCTGGGCGTATGCAGGAGAAAGGGGTCATCACGGTAAGAAGATTAACAAACAGATTTAGGTCAAATTGAAGCATTTAGTTATGTATTTTAGAATTAGTTTAACCGTTGCTAGAAATTTTGAATGAAAGATCTTAATAAATACTGCTCTTTATTAATTGGAAATACATACTTATTGCTTAAATAATTACCTGAATATTATATTTTATTCGGAACATGATAATTTACTTCATGGTGTATGATTCTTATTCATCTGATGATGATTGTTTTATAAAATGCTTAAATAAACAAAAAAAAATAGATTAAGACACTCAGTATAATATTTTTATCCTAGGACACCCTGGATTGGCCAACAAGCAGGAAGTTTTTCTACTGGCGCATGCGTCGTCTGCTGCTAGAAGAAAAAGCCAAGAAACTCATTTACAAAATTAACAAAGAGATGACAGACGGCCAGATGAAGAACATGCTTAAGAGATGGTTTGTGGAATCCGAGGGCACAGTAAAGGTAAAGATAGCAGAGACATTTTTAATACATTGTACAAATTGTTTGGCATTTTATTTACTATGACCTTTTGTCTTTGGCATCTGTGTTTTAATTATTTTACTAAGCTAAAAGAAGCTCTGAATATTCTCTTATTTCAGACATATTTGTGGGAAGACAATTCTACAATACAAATGTGAATATTTCAGGTATAAAGAGCTGTGAATGTTCTTTTATTTCAGACATGTTTGTGGTAGGAAAACCCTACAATGTAAATGTGGATATTTCAGATATAAAGAGCTTTGAATGATCTCTTATTTTAGACATATCTGAAAGAGCTCTGAATGTTCTTTCACTTCAGACATATCTGTGGGAAGAAACCCTACACTATAAATATGAATATTGCAGGTTACTGGTACAAAGAGCTCTGAATGTTCTTTTATTTCAGACATATTTGTGGGAAGACAATCCTGCCGTAGTGGAGTGGCTAGAAAAGGCTCTAGAGGAAGAAAACTCTGTGTTTAACGATAACCTCAAATGTCTGAAGAGGGACTGCGTGATTGAGAAGCTGAAAAAGTGAGTTTTAAAAAACATCATATTTTGCAATCACGCTGACACATTTTATAGTGTATGCTGAGATCTCAAGCACACACACACTCAGATTCTTCCATCAGTTATTTCTGAATCTTTTGAGACAGTTGTAAAAAGGTCCCCTTTATTTGAGATACGATTTAGCCAGAATCTTTCAGTTCACATGGAAGTAAAAATAAATCTGAAACAAGACTTACAAAGTTATACAGCAATGATACAACATTGTGATTAATACCACACAGTCTAGTGATAATTTCCCAAACGTCTCATTTAAAGCTCACTTACGGTTCTCAATCTGCCCTGGAACATAACGTTTTTTTTTTCTTTTAATGAAAAATGTTCTTAATCTGTTCTAGGACGTTCTGAAGGACTTCCAAAAACAGTTCTCAGACCGTTACATTTATTACAGAACAACATTCAACTTCTAAAAAAAACACACCAAATGTTTTTGATTAGCTTGAGAACCACAGGTGAACAGTTAATGAGACACATTTTCACAGTGAAATCTCGTACACCAATGTATGTATCAGAACTTTCATTCCCTCTGTCGGTGATCAGTTATTTCATTTTCAACCTGTCATTCCAGCCTCCTGGAAGATAACCCAGATGTAGCCATGGACTCCCTGGTCCACATCACACAACATATGACTTCAGGACAGAGGAAGGAAGTGGGGCGTATTCTGGCCACTATGGACCCACCCTCCACCCCTACGTCACCTCAGTCTACGGATTGAGCCACAAAGTGGTTACAGTAAACTGGACTTAGGCTTCTTTGAATTATTTTGCCTGTGCCTGTGGAGAAATACTAGGACTATACTGTTAGGCTGGATGGACCATTTGGCTGTTGTATAGTGTTAAAGACTGGGTTCCCATGCCTACATTGATCTAATAGGATCAATCCATCTCCAAGGGGTTTCTTACTAAATTGCCTTCAGCTTAAGCGCCTTAAATGTCTGGCACACCTACTGAAGCTGCTTAACGATAATTAATTATCCCCTGGAAGCTTCATTAGGTGTGACAGACATCTAAGCTGCTTAAGTTGATTGCAATTTGGCGAGAATCCCCTTGGAGATAGATCGATCCAAAGTTAGTACCATAGGGTCTGGGAATGGTTCTAAAGATATATCATTTCGTCTTTCTTGTTCATGGAAAGAAAAATGAAATGGAATATTTATCATTTTCTGTTATTGAAATAATGTGAACAAAATTGCAGTTAACAACTATAATTTTTCTGAAGTGCTTCAGTTTATTTCTCAAACAACTTCATTGCCAGAGTACAGATGTGTAAGCAGCTCTTTAATGTAATGTAGGATAGAGTTTATCTGCCCAGTTTTGGGGGCGTATTAGCCAGGCTTGTATTCCATTGTGCCATTGGACAGTTATATATATGTCCACCATGTGATCAATGTATCGAGTCACAGAAACTTAACTTATCAGCAGGGGCGGATCCAGGATTATTTGAAGGGGGGTGTCTGCAGATGCCCCCCCCCCTCCCTCTCTCTCACACACACACACACACACACACACACACACCCTAAATCTGCCACTGAACAAGACACAGTTTTGACACTACATGGGAAGTATACTATAATATGTGCAGTTTTGGGAGGATGTAGAAATATAATTTGCTGTGTGGAGGAGACTTAAATTGTATATGGCAGTGTATAAATGAATTTTTAAGGTTAATATGTGACAATGATGCTATCAGACAGAAGAATGTGTAATATTTTGTAGCACAAATCAAGTTCATTGATGTTCAGAAACTGAGCAAAACAAAAAATTTGCATCATTTAAGATGTTAAAAAATATATTGTTTCACAGATTGCATGCTATAACAAATATTTATTAATATTTAGAGCTGAATTGATTTCACTTGGTTGACTTAAGTGGTATTTGAACCAACTGATTAACTCTTTGTCTTCATGTCTGCATCTCTGCATTGATATCGTCAGTAATTTATATGTCGTGTGCAATAAATGTGCAAAGGAAGAGAAGAAAGTTTTTTTTTCAAACAATTGTAATCTGTAGGTGCAACATGTCAACAGTGGTATAAATTTCACTTTTACTTCTGCATACTTCAAACTGAGTTTTGAAATCAGGATGAAGTTTTTATGACTTGAAAGCTAGCTGGATGTTGACATCAATTTCCAGTAGCTATAGTACTTACTCGCCAAGGGGTGATGCAATTTGCAAAGCGGCATTTTGTATATATATATATAAACGTCATAAACACGGCGTCAGCTACCTCAAGTAAGCTGTATATAGCAGGAAGTAAAGATAAACGCCATAAATACGGTGTCAGCTACCTCGAGTAAGCTGTATGTAGCAGGAAGTAAAACAAAAAAAAAACGTCATAAAGACGGCGCCAGCTGTCTCAAGTGAGCCGTATGTAGCAGGACGTCCGTAAAAAACTAAAAAAAATTATAATAAAGATAAGGTAATCGTTTCTATGGTATAAATACTGAGCAAAGAATTTGCGAAAAAAAAAAAGATATGACGGGTCACAGGAATAGTATTTACACAGATATTGCTTTTCACAGATTTATCTGCGCACATTCCTGAACTGTATTTTTGCACAGATTTCCGAAAATGACGTCATCACCCTGCTGGCCCCTGGTAGAAAATAGTCCCTTTCCCGCCCACTTCGACTTCCGAGACCGGTTGTTCATGGTTATATGAGCGACACTTGTACAGTTAAAAGACGTCACAGTAGAAGGACGTGACCTTTTAATGTTTTCTTTCTTTTTTTTAAATAAGCTGCTTTGTATTTTGATAAATGACGCCTTTTTCTGACATAATTCGTACGAAAATATCGTATTGTTGACAAGCGTCCCGCACAAGGGTTCAACAGGGTACTAATTTTTCTTAAAAATTGTGAAACCGTACACTTTGTGTTTTAAGGAGGAAAACAAAGTGACATATAAAAATTACATCAGTTCAACGAACACAATGACATTCGGTGCGCTCGCACCGCTTAAAAGGTATCGGTAAGCTACATCATAAAAACCTAGTAGGCCTATGTTTGGGAAAATAGCTTTTCCCCCGTTTCTTTTATGTCAGACGCTTAATATTAATGCAAAAAGTAATAAATAAATAAACGTTCTAAGTACAATTTTCTTTTTGTTGTTGATGGTGGTCAATCGCCAATTTTGCTGCTTTGTGAATTGATGGGAGATGGTGATCTGTTACCGACGCAACTCTGTAACTACCCAGTATGTATAGCAGATAAAAAAGTTTTTGTTTTGACCACAATGCTTCAAAATGCACGTGTTAGTCTGATCACTGTTTTCAGCGGCAAAACACCGTCCTGGTGCACTTGATTGTTCCATGATTAAATTTTCAGACATTTTTAACCACAAACTTTTGTGCTAGTGGACACTGGAACCAGACAACCAAGTTTAGAAATCTGAATTTCATGTTAACATCATGTCACGGCTGTCTGATCTGGAAGGGGCGTGCCAACACCCAACCTTACGCTTGCTCCAGCAGGACAATGCCAGATAACTCTTTTCTATTTTGTTTAGTAGACAATATTCTCATGGAAATTGATCATTTTGGACGACCAGGGCGTGAACCGCCATCTGGCGGCAGCGTTTGGTTTTAATTTTTTTTTATCAGGAGATATGAGCCCCAGATGGCGATGTTCCATTACACAAAGTCATTACTTCCCTCTTTATTAATAAAATCAAGGAACTGTCTTGGCATAAGAGCACTTGTTCTTAGTGTAGTATATATAAGTTTAATATAATGGTTATCAGTGACAAAAATCGCTGACATTATTAAACAACGACCTTACTAGGTGAGGGCAGAACTAATTATTGGCAGTGCGAGAAATTTTGTTTACCTCATATATTAAAAACATATCAATATATTTATTCATTTAAAGAGGCGAAAGTGTGTAACATAAATACCTCAATATACTGAGCGATGTGATTCTTCATCAACGCGAAACCTCGTACACTTGTTTACTTCGCAGGTATAGGCCTAAGGGTACATCTTTCAGATTAGAGGCACCGGACATTTTTTGACGCACTCGTTCACTTCGCAGGCATAGGCTACGTCTTTCAGATAACAGACAAGATTTTTTCACACAAGATAAACCGGAAACTTCCTCTGCCGTTTCTGAAATGTTCAGGTCTGGACTGAAAGGCCAAGTGAGTTCGGATTTTTTTTAAAAAGCACAATGATTATTATAACAACATGTAATGTTCACCTTTTTTCCAGACATCCGTTTCATTTAAAACTTTTTTTAGGAATTGTTCACTTCTACGAAGGCGTGAGGAATCTGTCAAATTATGGGCTGGAAAAGATTTACATGATGTCAGTCCGAAAGCACGCATGCTCGTTATGCTTCTATAAAAACAACAATTTTTTTGTTTTTAAGCAACGATTTACACCAACCGGTTCTGTGACAATGGTAAGTCTATTGACTCAATTTTAGAAACTCAGCTTTAGAGAAATATACATTATGTATGTGGACAAGATTTGTTGGAGCAATTGCATATCAGTTTTGGTGAAGTCTTTTTTGTGAATTTTTCAAAAGGCCGACTTGTACAGAAGAACGAAATATCAGGATATAACCATAGTCCAAATAAGTTATTCGATATTAAGTAGTAATTATACAGTCATGTGAGTCTTATGATACTGCCAGCACAGATCCTGAAAGGAAAAATGAAAGTGCAACTAGAAGCATAAGCTGTGTCGTATTGAAATCTGAAAAACGCCAGATGAAACACTGATCAAGCATGTGGATATATGTAAAATGAATTCTCTGTAAGCAAGGATATTATGAACTTTAGAATGTAAGATTGTATATGTTAATTCATTCAGTGGTCTTAAAATTAAATAAAAATTGTTTTTATATTCGATAAATTTTACACAGTAATCAAGTGAATCAGAATATTCGATGTCATTTCAACAGGTTTGCAAGACAACTGGAAAATTGCTTGTATATTTGGTCGTCTTCCTGGGCCTGGCATCCAAACTACTCGTAGAAGGAGGTACGATAGTTCACTAGACTCTTTACTAGACGCAGTGATTATACACCAATAAGTATTAAAGCAGAGAAACTGATTTATACATTTGCTAATCGGAAAATAAGTGAATATGCCAAAAAATCTTGTATGTTTGCTTAGTTTTAAGTTACACACACACACACACACACTGAGAGAGAGAGAGAGAGAGAGAGAGAGAGAGAAAGAGAGAGAGGGAGGACATATTTATTGCATTAAGTGCGTTTCTATTTTTGTAAAAAAAAAAGCTTGTTATCACTTTCAGTATTCGTGTTTAAATCTTTGGCGTCGCCAGGCTACAGCTGGGGGTTTAATGACGATGGAATTACTACTCTGAAAAAAGGCTTCGGCATTCGCTGCTTCCGCGTTCTACCGGGCTTAACTGGACACCAGACGACAGTCTCATTCGAGTCCAAGGACCACCCCGACTATTTCCTCTGCAACGTGAACTCGGTGCTCAAGTTGGTGAAAAGACCACATGTCGATCGCCATCATAGATTTGCAAGGCATGCTAGTTTTAAGCCCACTGTTGGTTTCTGGCACGCTGGATATACCGTATACGAGGCAATGACACGGTCAAATTTTTATATTCGCCAGTCAAACTTTACTCTGCGTGTAGAGAAATACGATGACACAGAGAAATTCCGCCAAGAGGCCAGTTTCAGGACAGAGCTTGAAAGCAACTGTGGTTTTACCTCTCTATATAATTTTACGTAACGTTCTGACCAGCGTCTCAATATCTCAAGCCATTTAATTCTACAATGTACGTAATTCAGGTATTCTTACAATAATACCTTCAGTACATTTTGAACAGTGATGCTGTTATATTGTTAAGCTATTAGCTTTGTAATTAAAAGCTTTGTGTGTACCGCAAAATATAAAGCTTGATCGGTCTGATATCACGTGCAATGTTATTAAAATCAAGGAATCAATATATCATATTATTATGATTATGTATAATATATTTATTTTGGGGTGTGTCTGAAGTGATTGATTCCCAATAGCTGGTAGATCAATTTTTAGGAAGGAGACACACACCAATAAATTCTGAAACTGAACATAATGTGTTTGGGATTTTTCTCTGTACATCATTTTAAGTATTACCTAGGGGTTCATTGCTTCGCTTCAAAATAACGTAGGCCCGAAGTCTGCCTGGGTGGATTCATATGAAATATGGTAGATGACTTATTATGCTAAAATTATGGAAAGATCTGACAAATGTTCAAAACAATAGAATTTTTGATCAACTTTCAGGAAAAAGACAAATTGATGCTCTGAAGCATGAGATGATGGAGAGTAACTTTCCAAACCAATCAAATATTTTAATAATTTAAAAATTTAAAATACAAAAAACGTCGTGAATGTTGTTTTCTTAAAAAAATTCAGAATGTATGGGAAAAAATAAATTCTTAAATTCCCTAAAATTCATATGTGAAGTTTAAGAAACAAAATAATTTGGTATAGATTTAAGCAGAAAGGAAAAGTCACTTCTGAGTGATTTTTGTACGGGAATTTTACCGCTATATGTAGGAACAAACACATCGGCCAATGAAATAATTTGGCAAATGTGTAAAATGTAGAAAAAGCTGAAAAAACATTCCTTACTTCCATGCGCTAGTAACATAGTAAAAATTGTATGGATTTAACAGTCAGTTTGGTAATGAAACTTTAGTTTTTAATTTTTTTTATTAAATTGAAAAGATTTCGTTGGAAAATATTATAGCAAAAATATAATAACTTGCAAATTCACAGCCACAATACATATTATACACGATTTTAAAACAAGAACGTTCGTAGAGCACACAAAGCGCCCTATAAGCCGGAAAGGTTTTATTATCATGAAGGAATAAATGAAATATTAGCTTTTGTCTACATTCATGATTTTTTGCTAACGGTAATAGTGAATCTTCCAATATGGGGATTTTGTTCAATCTTACTGTTAAACACGAAAACTCGGTTGAACATGCTCTCTCTCTCTCTCTCTCTCTCTCTCTCTCTCTCTAGATACTTATATACCACCGCTATAAAATGGATAAATTCATCTTTCACTTAATTTCTCACTCTAAATGGTTGATTTTTCTTCCATGTGTGTCCTAAAACTTAGAACTAACATGATATACTGTACATTATTGATTGATGCAATTCCAATGTATACAGCTTCATGATATTTATGATAATAATAAGAATAACATGAAATATTTTCATGGCGCACTACATAAAAATCTTAATTGGCCTTACATGAAATGTATTTTTAACTGACACTTAAATGATAAAATTGCACCGACAATAGATAATAATAATTTATTTATTTCCAGCGAAAAATCCAAAAAATATATACATGTTCGTAGACTTTATAAATAAAATACAAAGTTAATAAGGGTTAATTTAAATGGAAAACTAAAGAAAGAAAGTGAAAAGTGTCCAATTCTATTGTCCTGTAAAGTATAAAATATTCAATCATAATTCAAAAAAAAAAAAGAAAAGTTCACAATTTTTTTTTAAATCATCTGATGGGCTTATATTTCCTAGTCCTGATGGTAACTGATTCCATTCGTACGGAGCCGCGCGCGTAAACATAAGATTTTTTCTCCAAATGTTAAAAAAAGGAGCACAATTGATAAACAGTAGCGAGTATCTTGAAATATTCATGCTTTATAAACAACATAAGAAATAAGTTGTCAACAATGTTTTAAATGGTTCAATACTTTTTGCAAGTCTTATTATTAACGGCGGATCATTCAAAAGACTTGGAGCGTATATCTCAGATAAATGCGTGCGGAGACCACGAATATAGCCTTACATAGTCCTGGCATCTAATCTGCAGACGAAAACGCTATCTTTGATTGACAGTTGTGTTTTATACAGGTCTCTTATGTTTAACAATTAGTGTATTCCGTGTAGCTCTTGATGCTTACGTAATGTTCCTCATCTAAAATTTACAGAGCAAGAAACGTGCCAGAATAAAGCACATTCAAAGTGTCACCTGGTATTTCTGAAAAAAAGACATCTATCTTCGTCACACACTTTCTTGCTGCTTTCAATGTGATAGATAGATAATTTATTTAAACATGAGCAAAGAGAACAAAAATATTTATTACAATTGTACAAATGAACTTGTACAATCAAATTAGCAAAACATATTTTCACTCTGTCATTGCATTTAATATGCCGAGCCAAGATGGGCATACACAGCAGTAACATAATATTAGAAAAAATAATCCGTTACATGTCTTGACTTCAACCAAAAATTCCTATTTCCGAAATTCTGAATTTTTATCACTTCAATTTACCGGTTATTTTCTGTGCTAAACCAGGGGCGGATCCAGAGCTATTTTCTGGCCGTCTTCCAAATTTTCTTTGTTGATCCATCCTCTGTTTTTGACCGTCGTCCGACAGAAAAAATTAGATATCCGTCAATGTAAACTTGAAAATCTGACCGTCTATCAGAAGACCCAGAAGACGGCCTCAATCCGCCCCTGTAAACATCCCTAGCATTATTTTGTTACTATACGAAAAGGGAGTGTAAATCCGGTCGGAATTCTTGATAAATGCCGACACAACTTGCCAAAAATATTCCTTTGTGGTGCTAATAGTTGTGCAATGTTACCTCATCTTAACTGAAAATATAATTATATAGAACTGGATAGAGACTATAGCGATCTAGAATGTGGCCATCTTTCACAAGAATACAACATTTGCATATTTGGACTACTTATTTAATGAAAGTAAAAAAAAAAAAAAAGGTGAAGGCAAAATCAAGAGGAAGAATGAGGTTTTTGCCGATTCACTATTGAAAGTTTCCGAGAAAATTTATTTTTAAAATATCTAAAGCCCACAACAAGATACGCATCACATTACATGGAACATGGAAGCCATATACGGACAATTGCATTTATGATTTCGTACTTGCACCAAACGCGCGATCTACTTTCATCTTCAACTTAATAATAGCTGTTAGCTAGGGTCAGTTTATAAAACCCATCAACATACCAGCTCTGGGGTGGAAGGGGTTGTGATGAGAGGAGAACACGAACTAAAGCCGGTGTAAAGCGTGTCGGCCTGTCGCCCTGACGAGATTGGCCTTAGAACGGGATTATTTGAAGGGGGGATCCGCGGATGCTCTCTCTCTCTCTCTCTCTCTCTCTCTCTCTCTCTTGGCGTGGGGTTCGGTGCCCTTCAGCGGGCCCTGGAAAATTTTGGTGTTTTAGAAGAGACTGGTGCCTTTTGGAACGGTTTAGAACTATGATTTAGCTAGTCAAAATTCAGCTAGTCAGAAATCGAAAGGGGGGTCAGAACCCCCCTGACACCCCCCTAAGTCCGCCACTGATGAGAACAGATAGCTTAAATAGATTCCTTGCTTAAATGGAAGTGGCGTTGCAGGGGCGGATTGAGGCCGTCTTCTGGGTCTTCCTTCGGTCAGATTTTCAAGTTTACATTGACGAGTATCTAATACCTCTCTCAGAAGACTGTCAAAAATGGAGAATGGGTCAACAAAGATAATTTGGAAGACTGTCACAAAATATCTCTTGATCCGCCTCTGCGTTGATATCAGGTTATCAGCGTCAATAATAGAGTTAAACGACGGGAAACTTGTACAAATACTGGAACACATCCTTGGGGGAATTGAAGAAAGGCGGATTTCTGCTTATTTTTGATGAATACGGAGCTCGAAGATAAACACCATGTGTGTTTCAGATATAAAATGAACGACATATTATGACAGCAAAAAACAACACTAATTTTAACAATATTTTAAAAAGATTAATATTCTTCAACTACACACAAAAATGTCCAACGATTATTCATAGTGCAAACATGTTTTATTTCTGTAAAATCAGCTAATGGATCAAATGAAACACTTTCACAGACTGACGTCCTTTTTCTAAGAATAGGATCTTTTGAATGAATAGAATCTTAAATTTGAATTATTTGATAATGCACGAACTATAAAACACACGCAAGGATGCTATTAAGGCTCAATGGGAGACAGTAATAAAACCGGTTCATACATGTATTCAGTGTTCTAGACGTCTTTGGACGCGAAAACTGGGTTTACACTAAACGCAACCTTCGCAAAGAAATAATTAACTAGTAATTTACCATAAATAAATAGATAAATTAATTAATTAATTAATCATCATCAAATATTTCTTCCCTTGTCCATTTGTGACCTATCCTGAAAATTTGATCAAAATCTGTTCATAATTGATTAAAGGGGTGATAACTCTTCGTATGAGATCTATATTTCACAATAAAAACATTGTGAACAACTCATAGAAATACAATATATTCTGTTTTACCACTAAAACGGCAGTTCTAGCTATAATTCTGATATCTGAGCTTGTCATCAGACCACGGAACCTCCACAGATAGCTATACTCTGTTATAATCTCTTAAGAGATTATTACAAAAAACAAGCGTTTTAGAAAAAAAAACATTGAATGTAGAAATGGATTCATTATCCATTGCTAAATATGGGAAAATTGTTGTTAACTCCAGGATTTTTTTTTTTTTTTTTTTTTTTGGCCAAAACGAACAGTTATTATCCCTTTAATTAATTGCTTTTAAATTAATTAAAGGGATCATCAACAAAAGTGAAGCATTTAATTCTTCCTTGGCCCATTTGTCACCTTTCCAGAAAAATTCATCAGAATCCGTAATTACTTTTTGCGTAAAGCTAGGCACGGACAAACAAAAGGCAAACAAAATAGAATTAACTGCCTTCTCGGAGCTAATGAGATATCAAAGTAATATATTTGTTTCATTTAAAACTCTGTTAAGACATAGGCCCGTAATATTGGACTTTTAACCAGTGTGAGCTACATTAAGATTAGGTTCCAGTATTTATTGGTAAGAATATTTGTTACAAAATATTCAGTTTGTTTAAATGATACTGATGGTTCTTTTGAACTGTGCCTTCACGTTTGTTGCCCTGCATTTCGTTCCACTTTTTTTATTCCCCTTCGCCCGTTCCTAACTTTAGATGAAATTGACCTCAATAGCTCCACATGGCGGCCATTCTGCGAACTTCGAGGACCGTAGCATATTCTCTGATAAAACGGACTTTAACCTTCAAGACACCTTATAGAGCCATGAGTAGCTTGCTGATAGATGATCCCAAATATTCTTGGTTGAAGGATTTGGGCTTGAGTGCTGACAACAAGGGAGTGTTTCACGGTGTTTGGACAGGCTCTGGAGAGGTATGTTTTCATGAAAGGGAGCCAGAGAATTAAGTACAAGTTCAAGTAAATGCAGTCCAGTTTAAACTTATGCGGTGGCTGTAAACACATTTGGTGTTTTTATGAAGCTTCTGACTTTTAATCGGTGGAATTTCATCATTTCCTGGTGCAGTGGATGTCTGGGAAGTTGCATGTTAAAAACTCTTTATCTGGTAATCGAGTCAAAAATGCTTTTTATTTCCACCTCACCGATTTCCTTTGGAGGTGTGACGCCATTCTGGTCTGTGATTGGTCGAACCTACCGGCGTGTTGCTCCACTGTTTGAGACGAGAAAAAATTGTAAAATTAATTTTAGTAAAAAAGGAAAAAGTTATTTATGAATCTAGACAAATTGTAATGTGTTGCTTGTAAAATGTTGGTCTCGATCATGTGCGGTAGTAGTTCCAGTAAGTTATCTGTTCTAACTCAACAGATTAAATCCAGATCAACTTTATTTATGTTAATTTATGAGTAACTTATAGTTTATTCATAATTCTCACTTGAAAAATGCCCTCTCTGGTGTTTTTAGCAGCATCAAAATACAGTGTTAACACTCGGGCCAAGACAGAAAAAAAAAAAAAAAAAAAAAAAAACATGCACGCAGTTCAGTTTGATAAATAGCACTACTGTAGCTGTAGATGTTTACACCTTTTTTTCTCTAACAACGTTACAACATCGTACTGCTCCGCCAATTACTACAAACAGTGTTAAGTTTTAACTTTTATCTCTGCATATAACGGTGTTATATAGCCCCACCAGTAAGTACTAAAAGTATATATAAGCTCATGAGTTAACTTGTATCCCTACAGGTAACGACATCGTACTGCCCCACCAATAACCAGCCTATTGCCAGGGTAACACAGGTAGGTACACCTACACCTCACACCTCGTATACTTAGTGTGACTTAACTGACATATGAAGTATCACTGGTCAATTTTCAATGGGAATAATGCTGTGATCATTGAAATATCAGTTTGAAGGACTTGAAGCAAAGATAAACCTGGTTCAGTTTGATTTTTTATTGTTACAACATATAGCAGTATTGGTTTAATAATCAGGCAGTGCAACAATTTTCATCAGCATAATCACAAAATTTATCTAAAGACTTCATGTTTCAGTTGTGTAAGTATTATAAAGAAGTGATAATTGTTTAACATTCTATTTTGTCCACCAAAGGGGAGCCCAGGAGATTATGACAGTGCAGTGAAGGCAGCGTTGGAGGCATGGCAGACCTGGTGTGAGGTACGCAGCTGATCCTTACTTGTCAAGTGTTAAATGTTTTAATATCCAGTTCTTAACAATTATAAGATCATAAATGAAATTTTGTTCTCATTTGCAATTAGTTTTTTCATTTAAATCTATTGCCAATTACATACATTATTTCACATATATCCGGTATTGATAACACTGTATTTGATGGAAATAAGTTAATTCTAGTTAGTATAGCAATATTTTTGCTTTATTTCACCCTGAAGATCATGAAGTCACATGATGAGTCACTGTTGCTTAAAATTACGCTCCTTTTATAACTTATCCAGTGTAAATTGTGTATAAATGCCACATTTTAATTCCCACCCTGATTATGTATTCAGGTGCCAGCGCCACAGAGGGGAGAGATTGTGCGGCAGATTGGTCATGCTTTGAGAGAAAAGAAAACTCTGTTAGGAAAACTGGTAATTGATTAATACATTCTTAGTTGTTTCATTTCTGTATGATGGTCAAACTGTACATTAGTGCTCTGTTTTGATTTGTACACATGGTATACATGGTGTGTTTCTGCTCAAAGTGCTGACTATACAGTGGTTTGTAAGTTACATTTGAGAGAAGCTTTCAAAGTATTTAGTCTGTAGTTGCTATCTCTTGACCTTAGAGGTGATTTTAACAGGCCTAGTAAAGCAGATTTATTATTTATTTATTTATTTATTATTGATTGATTGATTGATTGATTGATTGATTGGATGATTGATTGATTTTTGAGAAATGAGGAGGTAAAAGAGAGAGTAAGTTATAAGGATAAATTGATATTTGTGATATTTATGATATTGTTTAGATATAATATATATTTCAGGAATCTCTAGAGAATGGCAAAATCTTACCAGAAGGAGAGGGCGAGGTGCAGGAATTTATTGATATTTGTGACTATGCAGTGGGCCTCTCCAGAATGTTTCAAGGATTAGTTCTTCCTTCAGAGAGTGAGTGACAGAATTTATAAATACCTCTTTTTTCTCGTGTATTACAAGAAAGAATTTTACAAGAATGATTTTTGAATTATATTACATCTTTTTACGTCATTTCTTCTAATATTTTTGTCAGAAGAACAAAGTCCATAAAATTATGTACAGTAATGCTGGTTAGTACTAGAAGTTTCTGAATAAAGATACAAGGACATGTGTAACTGACAAAACTCATTTCACAACTGAAGAAACACCTAGCTTTATCTCTCTATCATGACATTTATTCTATAATATTTGGTCTAAAGCAAGTATTTTATTTTCAGATTGATATTCAGAATTGAAAGGTTATAAATTGNAAAAAAAAAAAAAAAAAAAAAAAAATTAAAAAAAAAAACGTGCATGCAGTTCAGTTTGATAAATAGCACTACTGTAGCTGTAGATGATTACACCTTTTTTCTCTAACAACGTTACAACATCGTACTGCTCCGCCAATTACTACAAACAGTGTTAAGTTTTAACTTTTATCTCTGCATATAACGGTGTTATATAGCCCCACCAGTAAGTACTAAAAGTATATATAAGCTCATGAGTTAACTTGTATCCCTACAGGTAACAACATCGTACTGCCCCACCAATAACCAGCCTATTGCCAGGGTAACACAGGTAGGTACACCAACACTTCACACCTCGTATACTTAGTGTGACTTCACTGACATATGAAGTATCACTGGACAATTTTCAATGGGAATAATGCTGTGATCATTGAAATATCAGTTTGAAGGACTTGAAGCAAAGATAAACCTGGTTCAGTTTGATTTTTTATTGTTACAACATATAGCAGTATTGGTTTAATAATCAGGCAGTGCAATAATTTTCATCAGCATAATCATAAAATTTATCTAAAGACTTCATGTTTCAGTTGTGTTAGTATTAAAAAGAAGTGATAATTGTTTAAAATTCTATTCTGCCCACCAAAGGGCAGCCCAGGAGATTATGACAGTGCAGTGAAGGCAGCGTTGGAGGCGTGGCAGACATGGTGTGAGGTACGCAGCTGATCTTTACTTGTCCACTGTTAAATGTTTTAATATCCAGATTCTAACAATTCTAAGATCATAAATGAAATTTTGTTCTCATTTTGAATTTTTCAATTACCCTATTTTACATGTATTGATAATGCTGTATTCAATGGAAATAAGTTAATTCTTGTTGGTATATTTTGTTGCCTTGTCTCATCCTGAAGATCATGAAATGATCTCATGTCACATGAGGAGTCACTGCTGTCTAAAATTACACTCTTTTCCTCTTATAACTTATCCAGTGTAAATTGTGTATAAACTCCATATTTTAATCCCACTCTGATTATTTGTCCAGGTGCCTGCACCACAGAGGGGAGAGATTGTGCGGCAGATTGGCCATGCTTTGAGAGAAAAGAAAACTCTGTTAGGAAAACTGGTAATTCATTAATACATTCTTATCTGTTACATTTCTGAATGATGGTCAAACTGTACTTTAATGCTCTATTTTGATTTGTGCACATGATATACATGGCATGTTTCTGCTCACAGTGCTGACTATACAGTGGTTTATAAGTTACATTTGAGAGAGGCTTTCAAAGTATTTAGTCTGTAGTTGCTATCTCTTGACCTTAGAGGTGATTTTAACAGGCCTAGTAAAGCAGATTATTTATTTATTTATTTATTTATTTATTTATTTATTTATTTATTTATTAAATGATTTTTGAGAAATGACGTAAAAGAGAGAGTAAGTTATAAGGAAAAATTGATATTTGTGATATTTATGATGTTGTATAGATATGATATATATTTCAGGAATCTCTAGAGAATGGCAAGATCTTACCAGAAGGAGAGGGGGAGGTGCAGGAATTTATTGATATTTGTGACTATGCAGTGGGCCTCTCCAGGATGTTTCAAGGATTAGTTCTTCCTTCAGAGAGTGAGTGACAGAATTTATAAACACCCCTTTTTTCTCGTGTATTACAAGAAAGAATTTTACAAGAATAATTTTTGAATTATATTACATTTTTTTACGTCATTTATTCTAATATTTTTGTCAGAAGAACAAAGTCCATAAAATTATGTACAGTAATGCTGGTTAGCACTAGTAGTTTCTGAATAAAGATACCAGGACATGTGTAACTGACAAAACTTATTTCATATCTGAAGAAACACCCAGCTTTGTCTCTCTATCACGACATTTGTTCTTCTATAATATTTAGTCTAAAGCAGGTATTTTATTTTCAGATTGACATTCAGAATTGAAAGGTTATAAATTTCAACTGTGATTTATACCACTATAAATATTATTTTTGGAGATGAAACAAAGGTTGACTTGTCTCCATTTGACATTGGTTAATTAATCATCCAGCTTCTGGCAGAATATTGCCCAGAGATGACCTAACCCACAGTTGATAATTGTATAAAAATGGTTATCTCCACTACAGGGCCAGGGCACTTGCTTCTGGAGCAGTGGAATCCCCTGGGGGTGGTAGGGGTGATAACAGCTTTTAACTTCCCAGTGGCAGTATTTGGATGGAACTCCTCCATAGCTTTGACCTGTGGAAATGTGGCCCTTTGGTAAGCTGGATTGGGATTCCCAGTCAAGTTGTCATAGTTAAACGTAGTAGTGCTTTCTGTTTCGTTAGATTGAGTGGTGACTGGTAAGAGTTGTTAATCGTTGAAAGCTGGCCTACAACTACTCCTAGGACAAAAGATGCACTAGTGTACATATTATAGCACACTGAACATGCTTATTTAGTGATTGTAATAGAAGTCGATGTGTTAACCAATAAATTTTTCAAGCAATTTTCATATGAAAAAGAAATAATTTTGATTTGTTTTTACAGTTTGAAATTTTATATTTCATATTTTGAAATCAACCTTACCTATAGGAAGGGAGCGCCCTCTACCCCACTCACCAGCATTGCTGTAACCAGGGTGATGACCTCTGTCCTTGAAGCTAACAACATGCCCCCTGCAGTGGTATCTCTGGTGTGTGGGGGTGCTGATATTGGGTAAGTGTAGGTTTTTATATGGTTGAAAAATGAAAAAAAAATGTTGCCTTCACAAGATGTATATATTATGTTATATGTAGATGTTGGAATACATATTACATTGCCAGTTTCATTAAAGTTAAAGTTCTTAATCAAACTTGTTACATGTTTAAATCAATTTAATTGCTTTGCATTTCAGAACACTGATGGCTAAAGATGAAAGGATCCCTCTTGTCTCCTTCACTGGGTCTACACCAGTGAGTAAACAGTGTGATACTGCTGATTAAGTTGGTATTTTAAAAGCAGACATGTTTAAAAACTTGACATTATGAAAGACATGAATTATAGATATAGACCAGGGTGCCAAACATTGCTCAATTGATAATATCTTGATACTATGTCAGTAAAATTCTAGAAAGAAAGCACCAAATGCATTATCATGATTTTGATAAAAAAGCACTCAATAAGTTGTCCTTATTAGAGGTATGAAACTGCAGCTTACAGATTTGTATGCACTTTTGCATGTAGACATTGATAAATGCACCATTTATTTTTCAAAAATGATATTTATTCAAAGGTTTCATTCAGACATGTTTTATCTGTCATCTCTAGGTTGGACACATTGTTGCACAGATGGTGACAGAGAGGTTTGGTGAGTTGTCTGTTTACAATATTTATCACCTAGGAATATCATAGATTATCTTTGGGACTGTTTACAATGAATTTTGTCAATGTACCTAATGCCCACTGTCTGTCTCAACAGGGACTCTCGCTGAATGCAACCATATTTAATGAGCAACACGCCTCCTGTTGTTTCCAATGTACTTACATAAGCACCAAGTTTTCTGTATTCTATTCAACCTCACTAGGAGATGTGATAATCTGTTAAACTGATGGCATTCGGCCACCATCAGCACAGTGTTAGTTCAAACTACCTAGTATAGTTTGATTGTGAATGCATTCTTTGATATTTGTGATATTACGTGGATTGATCCTTGTGGTTTCTCTCTGTAGGATATCCATGATAAAATGACTATGAGAGTAAAAATGTAATCATATAATTTTTCAACCCAATGTCTGTATTTCGTGTCATATTTACATGGCTAATGATTTGATGTTCATATTAATTTGTCTCTAAATCCATTTTAGGGAAAAAGATTCTGGAACTGGGAGGCAACAATGCTATTATAGGTAAATGATGTGGACCTACTTGTTTCATTCATTTAAAACATTTGTGAAGGTAATGAATGGAAACATGATTTACTTCACTGTATTCTACCATTATTCTTGTCAGATGGCATCCTAGCATATAGTATAAAAGTTTCAAACTTTTTGATTAACTAAATATTGATGATAATTTATATGTTTTATTCATTTATATGCTTGGGTGCTTTACAAGGCTATAACCTGACATCATATACCAATGTTAATTTATGTCACATTATAAACTACAAACCACTTTATTTGATAAATAAATTTATAAATTAATTAATGGATCACCAGCAAAATGCCATTGTTGCATATCTCTTCCAGTAAACGAGGATGCAGATGTTGACATGGTCGTAAGAGCCTCTTTGTTTGCCTGTGTGGGGACAGCTGGGCAGAGGTGTACCACAACTAGGAGACTGGTAAGTGTAAATACAGACTTAAAGTGTTTACCTGTGTGGGGACAGCAGATGTACCACAACTAGGAGACTGGTAAGTGTAAATACAGACTTAAAGTGTTTACCTGTGTGGGGACAGCAGATGTACCACAACTAGGAGACTGGTAAGTGTAAATACAGACTTAAAGTGTTTACCTGTGTGGGGACAGCAGGTGTACCACAACTAGGAGACTGGTAAGTGTAAATACAGACTTAAAGTGTTTACCTGTGTGGGGACAGCAGGTGTACCACAACTAGGAGACTGGTAAGTGTAAATACGGCTCTTGGAGTATAAATAGTTTGGCTGTAATTTTTTAGTAAGATTACAGTGTTTTCTTGCTGCAAAACAAGACCTGAGAAAAACTGATTTTCAGAAAGAAATCCCCACTTTCACACATGCAGAATAACTGCAAGTTATGGAGAATTTGCCAGAAAAAAAAAGGAAATAGTGTTTTCTTCTTGCAAACCAAGGTGTTATATTTGGTCTGTCATTAGGCATGCAGGATAAAGATATCTTAAGCTGTCTTGTAAGATGACAGCTTTGTTTTAAACTTCCACATTTACACTGACCATCATGCTCTGAATGCTTTGTCTGTATGTCTTCAGTTTGACACAGAATTCTTATGAGAAACTTTTTTATTTCAGATTGTCCATGAGAAATTGTATGATGCAGTTTTATCTGGACTGAAGAAAGCGTACGGGCAGGTCAAAATGGGCGATCCACTAGAACGTAAGCGCACAACTTTTCTTTCAGCAAATATCTCTTCTTGGTACTGTAACAGCAGTTCGTGTTACACGAGCTGTATGATATATGCGTGTTCAGCACATATGATGTTAAAAAAAAAATTAAATGGGCTGCTTTTTTTCTATTATAATTTTAGAAATTTTCGTATTTCCCTTAGATTTCTTTTCAGATTTTTATTATCTGCTCAAGATTTCTTTTCAGATTTTTATTATCTTCTCAGTAGATTTATTCATTTACACATATAATAATTTATTAATTGCTCCCTCTGCCCTATGAAGACATAAAAAGCTGTTCTGTTTCCCTCCAGCTGGCACACTACTGGGACCAATGCATTCTAAACAAGGAGTGGAATTATATCTGAAAGCAGTAGCAGATGTCCAAGCACAGGGTGGAAAAATAGAAGTTGGAGGCAAGGTTAGATAACACAGGCCAAAATTCTTTTCATGCTTGATGTTCCTTGAACAAGGTCTTTGTTGTATAGCCATCCCCCTTGCCGCCCTTAGCATTTTGTGTATGGAGAGTGGGCCACACTTACGCTAAATTGATAGCTTTAACAGCTCTAACAACTTATACCCTGTCTTTTAATTATAGTTTATCAGTCAATTTTCAATGATTTTTTGACATGACTCTAATAAAATTTACCCTTTCAGTCTCTCAGAGTAGTTAGATATTCAGAGAGAGAGAGAGAGAGAGAGAGAGAGAGATAAAGAGAGAGAGAGAGAGATAGCTGAGGAACAATTTAATGCTGTTAATGTCATTGAGTTTCTTAGATAAGAATTTTAATGTAGCATTTTTATATAAAAAATAAACAAATATCTTGACACTATTCTTGTAGGCAGTGGATCGACCAGGAAACTTTGTTGAGCCCACCATCGTGACTGGTTTACCCCATGACGCGGAAATTGTACATAGAGAGACATTTGCTCCCATTGTCTACATTATGAAGTGCAAGGTTAGTTTTCCCATGAGCCCTTGTTCTTCTGTGTAACTCACTTTTTTAATAAATATGTATGTTGGAAGTGGAAAATCAAATTTATAAAGTAACTGGCTTTTATTAATATGTATTGTTTTTATTTTATTTTTGACTATTATTACTTATTATTGAAATGGGAGATGTTCAGTTTGAAGGATTTTCTCTTTTAACAAGATTATCTGATCCCATTTTTGATAAATAGTAGCATCCTTTATTTTGGCAATTCTTTCATTCATTTTGCAAAGTCGTATTTGGACTGTTGACTGTAAGGAAGTTGACGATCTTTTTCCAATATATCACTTATGTCACCACTGATGTTGTAGAGTTTAGAAGAAGGTATTCAGTGGAACAATGAGGTAAAGCAGGGGTTATCCAGTAGTCTCTTCACCAGGGATATCAGTAATGTTTTCAAATGGATTGGGTAAGTACAACCTTGACCATTAAATTTTTTTCTGATGTTTTATAAAGTTAAAGGAATATTTGGTAGAAGAAAAAGAGACTTTCGCTGGTGTTTGCTCAAATGTTAATTTATCAGAGGCAGTCCAGTATTAATTAATATATTGTCCTTATAATTGGTGGTTCAAAATTTTTTTACCGCATTTAATTTTACAGACCCAAATGATACTTTTGCTGGTGTATTTTAGTTTGTTATTTTGCAGAGCCAAATGATACTTTTGCTGGTGTATTTTAGTTTGTTATTTTTCAGACCCAAATGATACTTTTGCTGGTGTATGCATTCAAATGTTAGTTTATCAGAGGCAGTTGAGAAGTGAATAAGTTAAAGATATTGTCCATACAATTAGTGGTTCAATTTTTTTTTACCCCATTTTATTTTTCAGCCCCAAAGGATCCGACTGTGGGCTGATCAACGTGAACATTCCTACCAGTGGCGCTGAGATTGGAGGAGCATTTGGTAAGAAACCACCTGGAAGTGTGCTTTTTATTTCATGGCTCAGTTACATTCTGGTATAGGTGGTCACTGGTCGTATTTCTGGATAGCTGTAATTTGAAAGTTTGATGGCTTGTGTGTAAATTCCTAGTTTTACCAGGTAGCTTTCAAAAATGTTTGATGCTAAAGTTTTCAAATAGCTCATAGACCTTTGTATTTATTCCCTATACCACAACTATGTAAATTGTGTCTTGAAATTGATCAGGAACCCATAACTCAAAAGCATAGCGCATTGCGACTGAGCACAAGCATCTCAATTCCATAACTTGCCCATACTCCATATGGGGGTTTTGGAATCGATCGCAATGCATGATGCTTTTAAGTAATGGGGCCCAGGACTTGTTATAAATTGTGCCAGAGAGAATTAATTATAAGCTGCTCATTCACCATTTTGTTTGCAATGTCAGGTGGAGAGAAGCACACTGGTGGAGGACGTGAATCTGGCAGTGATGCCTGGAAACAGTACATGAGACGAGCAACATGGTAGGTTGGACCCCCGGGGTAAGGAGGGGTGGGGTGGGGTGTGTGTGTGTGTGTGTGGGGGGGGGGGGGTGGCAGTGAGAATAGAGGACTTACTGCTAGTGATTAAGGATCACTGGAAAAACACATGAGAAGAGCTATGGGGTGGGTTGGACCCTGGGGGGGGGGGNTGTTTTTTGTCTGTACATTTGACAGCTTTGCTGCCTTGTTTTCACTTTTCAGCATATATGCAACACTGTAAACACATTTCAAGAAAAACCGATAGGCTTGTTTACTACTTGTTATTTCCCAGACCCAAAGGATACTTTTGCTGGTGTATTCATTCAATTGTACATGTAAGTTAACTTACTTGAGTATTGAACAGTATATTGGCGTGAAAATCGGTGGTTCAAGATTTATTACCACTTTTAATTTCCCAGCCCTAAAGGATCTGACTGTGGCCTGATCAACGTGAACATTCCTACCAGTGGCGCTGAGATTGGAGGAGCATTTGGTAAGAAACCACCTGGAAGTGTGCTTTTTATTTCATGGCTCAGTTACATTCTGGTATAGGTGGTCACTGGTCGTATTTCTGGATAGCTGTAATTTGAAAGTTTGATAACTTGTGTGTAAATTCCTAGTTTTACCAGGTAGCTTTAATTTGATGCTAATTTTTTTCAAATAGCTAATAGACCTTTGTATTTATTCCCTATACCACAACTATGTAAATTGTGTCTTGAAATTGATCAGGGACCCGTAACTCGAAAGCATCGCGCATTGCGACTGAGCGCAAGCGTCTCGATTCCATAAATTGCCCATACTCGCCCCATATGGGGGGGGTTGGAATCTAGACTCTTGCGCAGTGCACGATGCTTTCGAGATACAGGGCCAGGACTTGTTATAAATTGTGCCAGAGAGAATTAAGCTGCTCATTCACTGTGTTGTTTGCAATGTCAGGTGGAGAGAAGCACACTGGTGGAGGACGAGAATCTGGCAGTGACGCCTGGAAACAGTACATGAGGAGAGCTACATGGTAGGTTGAACCCCTGGGGTGAGGAGGGGTGGATGGGGTGAGGAGAGGTGGGGTGGGGTGAGGGGGAGTGGGCAGTGAGAATAGAGGACTTACTGCTAGTGATTAAGGATCACTGGAAACAACACATGAGAAGAGCTACGTGGTAGGCTGGACCCAGGGGAGGGGGAGGGGGGTGCTGTGAGAAAAGAGGACTTACTGTTAGAGATAAGGTAACGGTGTACTAGTACCTGTTTTATCATGGTTAAAGATTCCCCCCCTTCCCACCTCTCAAGGAGTGAGTTTACGCCCAAGAAGATGAAAACCCAATTACACTTATACATTAGTATGAGATATATATCCTGATCGTGCTTTTGGTAAAAAAGTTACTGGTTGCCATGGAAGCAGCCTCACACAAGTTGAATAATTCTAAATTAATTGTGGTTTGGCTATGGGTTATGGAAATTCAAATTCAGTATTGAAAATTAAAAAAAATATGAGATGTATATGCAAATGTTCTTATAAAGGTTTTATGTCTGAACCATTTTAATAAAGCTGGATGGGGAAATACAGATTTCTCAAATCAGATTTCTCGTATTCTTTGGAAGTTATCTTTGCTGATCCTATGAAAGATGTGAAGCAAGGACATTGAATATGTTTCCAATATACATGTATATTGTTTAAGTTAACCTAAGCTTTGCTTTTATCAATTTTCTTTAACTTGTATTTTACATTGTTAAGCCTATGGAACATTATTGATAGAATGTTTTTAGTTATCCAGCAGAAGTTGAATGACAGTTATGTTTAACTCTGAATCATACTGATACATTGGTCAGATCAGTTGCTAATGTAAGTTCCAGTTATGCATCATCCTCATTCTGTTGAACTTGTTAAGTCTATTAAATATCTTGAATATATTCTGAATTATTATTATTATTATTAGATCGAATTTCTTGTGTTCCTCTTCCAGCACAATTAACTGCAGCAGGGAGTTACCACTGGCCCAGGGAATTAAGTTTGAATAAGTCAGATGGAACAAAATGGAACCAAGAGGACCCAAGAAGACCTCGCTTTTTATTGTCTGTTTTACAGACCTGCCAATTTACTTGTAAAAACTAAAAAAAAAACTTAACATAAAGATAAATTTTCAACCCCTCCCATGCATTCCTAGCAGCTGATTTAAAAGATGTTTCTGTAAATTAAAATCTAGTTCATTAAAGATAGTTGTGTGGCTTAGCCATTGTAGTTTTATATGCATTTACTTTACCTTTATTGCAGCCAGAATTAAAGTGACCTGTAAAATATGCAACAAAAAGATTTGCCTGAACAGAAAGTAAATTGCAGGAAGGAATTTGTGTTTATGAGCTCACAAAAAACTTTACCTTTCACTACAGACCTCCTAACATAAAGACCATGATTGTGCACAGGGGATGTTAAAATCTCATTAGAAATAGTAGTAGTTTAACTGTAGTAGTAGTAGTATATAGCTGAACAAAGGTACAATTATTGTTGTTGATACATCGAAGTGTTGGAACCAGACAAAAAGATGGCAAATGTATTTTTAGGATGTTTTTACCTGAATTGAATCTGAGATTCTAACTATTGTACATTATGCCTAGCTGAATACGAATATGCTGTGAAACGCATCATGTATCTAAAAATATAATTTATGCTTTGGAAGTGAACTGTTATTTATGCACAGTAGACGGCAGATCTAAGCTGCAATTTCACTGCCATAATTGTGATAAAAACAAAGTTTCTGTCCAACAGGAAGAATTATGTGGCTTGAAGTGTATGATTTCTCAATGGAAATGTTAAATAAATTGTTATGAAAACCAAGATAATGCAAAAAAAATAATAATAAAAAAAATAAATAGATTAATAATAATGATAATAAGTAAATAAATAAATAAATAAATAAATAAATAAATAAATGAATAACTAAATAATAAAAAATCAAAGTAACAAAAAAATACACTGTATGGATACAGGCAATGTAAATATCTAAAATAAAAGATGCCTGGCACTTCATTTTAAAATCATTTTTGCAATAAGTATGTTGAATCTAGAAATTCAAAATGTAACATGCTAGAATAATAAGTCTAATGTGTAAAATCATCAAAACATTTAATTTTATAATCACTAATTACAAAAAAAAGCTTTCAAACACATCCAGATTTCACAAACTATGACAATTAATAACTTGGAGGGTTAATTAACATTGTGATGTTAGGAAAGCATTGTAGTCTTTGTAGTTCGACTAGCTTCTTGGGCTACATGCATTTGTGCGAGTATTGTTTGGTTCGAAAAAAATATGGTATGTCGCATATGCCATATGCCAGAGGTAAGAAAAGTAGTGAGGGAGCTTGGAGGGATTGTTTTGTTGTCAATAGAACACAGATTGGTTTAACAATTAAACTTATGAAACTGCATAAAGCGGCGCAGGCGGTCGGTCCAGATCATGACTTTGTCACAGCATGTATAATAACAGGAAAACTTGCTTTGGAAGAAGTTCTTTCTAAACGACAGGATAGGATAAAAAGTGGAGTACAAAAAGCCAGACATACAAAAAAAAAAAAAAAAAAAAATCATTTCACTCTTCACCATGTTGGTTTTACCAAGGAGTTATAAAGAGACCTTCTCTTTATAACTTCTTGGTTTTACCATAGAAAACATTTAAAATCACTCATAAGCTTGACTGTTGTTGGGCATGCGCATGGCGTTTTCAACATGAATATCAGTTAATTTTACAGTAATTAATTCAGTTTGGTTAAGGTATAATTCTTTAAAACGCGTAAGCCAGTGTCATCGGTCCTTTATAAGTGATAGTCTATGAAAGTCACCCATAGATAAAGAGCTCTCTTTCACCTTCTTTATAACCTTTTGAATGCATTGTCAATTTTAAAACTGAATAAACGCACATCAGGGTGAATATGTTTAACTATGCATCATCAGCAGTCCCAGATGTCTCCAGCCGTGACATCATATGATTGCCCTCGTGAATCCATTTTTGCTTCTTTGGGATGGTCATTCTCCATGTATGAAGATTTCTGCGGCCAAACAATGCTAATGGGTCTCCCATACATAGCAGGAATCTTACTCTGATAACCAGCAAACGGACTTTTCCATCTTTGACCCCTGTGGACGGTGCTGAAGGACGGGTCATTTGGGACGCAACTGACGCCAGGCTGACTTTCACCGGGGATAGGATCCGGGAGAGTGTCACTTTCAGTTTCATAATCGGGCGCAGGGTCCCGGATGATCAGATTTCCAGCTCCTGGAAGGTCATTGGACAGGGTGTCGTAGTCTGGGGATGGATCCAAGGGTACATATTCACCATCATCAGTAGGTATATCAAGGAGTTTCATGTAACCAGGATTTGTACCAGATTCACATTGATCCTGTTCTTGTCTTGTCTTGCAGGGTTCTGCTTCTACCTCAGCTCTCTCTGATGTGAATGTTTTCATCTGTACAAGCATCCTGGTGTCTTCCACCACACTGCTGCACCGGTTACTGCCGAAACTAGCCTGGGACGAGAACGCGCTGTCGATACTGCCCTGCCTTGTTGCAGGGTATCTACCGATAGGGCTGCTCCTTGTCACAGATTTTGCACTTCGACTGTTGAAATCCAAGTTGTTTCTGTGGTCGCTTCTTTTTCTGCAGTTACAAAAACTGATTATCATTGTTACTCGAAGCATTTAAAAATAAGCATTTGAATTTCAAAATCGTCCACAGTTACAAATGCTGACTATAACTACTTAATTGAAATTATCACCGTGACTATAGTTTAATAAAGCTAATTAGATAATTAACATTCAAATACATCTTTTCTTCTACACTAACAACATCGTTAGCGAGTGAAATGACTGTTCATCAAAGCTATTTTAAAAACAAGCATTCATTCCATAACTAAGGCCAGTATATACCCGTATCAGGGGCGGGTTGAGGCTGTCTTCTGGGTCTTTCAGAAAACGGTCAGATTTTCAACTTCACATTGACGGGTATCTAATTTCTTTTGTCGGAAGACGGTCAGAAAAGGAGGATGGGTCAGCGAAGATAATTTGGAAGACTGTCAGAAAATATCTCTGGGTCTGCCCCGAAGTATCTTACCTTTTTCTTTGGTATGCCCAGCAGACCACCACACAGGTCATGGTGCCCAGCGCCAAGGATATTATCACGATGATTATAATCCACAGGATATCTATGGCAAAGATTTATATTTATTATTTCAATTTTAACCAACTGAATTTATCATTATAGCATACTTTATATCTACATGAATTACGTTCTCTCCATACCAATGTTTTTTGTTACCCTAAGAACAACTATACAACTAAACACAAATAGCTTGAGTTATTCCTATTGCCACGGCAATGCCAAAAGCTATACTAGGTTGTGAAATAAATGGCTGGCATTTTTAAGATGCACCTAGCTTTCTCTCTTATTCAGGGAACATCAAAAGTGTAGATATACCAAATAGTAATTGTAATTTTCACAGCTGATACTATTCAGGTAAACATGTGTAAGCTTTTGGATACAAATGAGTGTACTAGTATGCCAATAGTGAACATTTAACTTATGAAACTTACCAAATGAACTTCCATTTTGTGCAGCTTCTTTGCCTATGATTACCTCTGTTTAATGAGAAGATAAAAAAATTAAAATATCATTTTCTAACAATGGCAACATTTAGAAATTTTGTCGGTGATCTTTTAAATGATTGTTTTCTTAGTGCCAAGTAACATTAAAATACCTCAATTATTATATGTTACAATATCATATTCATAATTCCTTAAACAATGGTACACACTATGCAGTATATATTGATCAGCTGCTTTTAAAATAGGGAAGATGGAAAGTCTAAATTGGTTTTACATGCAGGCTACCATGGAACTTAGCGACACATAATGATACAGATGTGCCAGTATATACATGTATGTCTTATGTTTATGATAGCTTTTAATTCTTAGCATATTTACCCGTGCAAGATGGGGGTTCGGAACTCCAACTCCCGTTATTCATGCAAACTGCTGTTGAACTCCCTGCCAGCACCAAGTCTCCATCGCTACAAGTGTATGTTAACGTGCTGCCAAACACCAGGGTATCATATGTCACAACTATCGTGTCTGGTAACTTTGGTAACTGACACTGTACAACTAGGAATAAAAAAAAGAAAAGAAAGGAAAAGGAGAATATAGGGAGATTTGATCCGTGTATATCTAAAATGAAACATAAAGTCACACCATACTGGTAGAAGTTGAACTTGAACTAACTTACCATAACAATGATATCCATCTCCAGTAAAAGCGTCTTTGCAGAGACAGTGGTAGCCACCGTAAGTATTGGTACAGCTAGCTGAGGAGCTGCAGTTGTTGGTTGTTTGGCATTCATCAATATCATAACAGTTGTAGCCATCACCAGTGTAGCCAGAATTACAATAGCAGGTATAGCCACCATTGGTATTGGTACAGCTAGCTGAGGAGATGCAGTTGTTGGTTGTTTGGCATTCATCAATATCATTACAGTTGTAGCCATCGCCAGTGTAGCCAGAATTACAATAGCAGGTATAGCCACCATTGGTATTGGTACAGCTAGCTGAGAAGCTGCAGCTGTTGGTTTTTTGGCATTCATCAATATCATTACAGTTGTAGCCATCACCAGTGTAGCCAGAATTACATGAGCAGGTATAGCCACTATTGGTATTGGTACAACTAGCTGAGGAGCTGCAGTTGTTGGTTGTTTGGCATTCATCAATATCATTACAGTTGTAGCCATCACCAGTGTAGCCAGAATTACA